CTTCTGGAATGATGTCAGGGCCCAAGGAGACCTTGCCCGATCCATCCAGCGAGGCCATCTAGGCACCCCCACGCGTACACACGTTGTTAGTCGCCCTTCAATGGACTCTGATTCCCGGCGGCCCCGTGTGCACAGCAGGAGGAGCTTCTCCATGGGGTTTTCGTGCTGGGACCTTTCAGCAGCTGGGGCCTTCCAGCAGCTGACCTCAAGGTCTGTCTTCTGAGGCACCTCTGGGTGCCTTTCAATCAGCCATCTCTTGGCTAACGCTTAACCCTCTGTGTCGCCGGCGACTCCATCCCCTCGCTCAGTCATTTCTAACTCATAGCAAGGCTAGAGCACAGAGTAGGACTGCTCCCTAGGGCTTCTGAGACTGTAATTCTTTAAGGGAACAGCCAGCCTCATCTTTCTCCCTCGGAGCAGCTGGTGAGTTTGAACCACTAACCATGAGGTTAGCAGCCCAATATGCCACCAAGGCTACACACACACACACACACACACACACACACACACACACACGCACGCACCCACACGCGCACACGGATCTATCAATTTCACCCACTCCCAGGTATTTGTGGGCTTTCTACTCCCATAAAGAGTTACAGCCTCGAAACTCACAGACGCGGTTTTACTCCGCCTTATAGGGTCGCTATGAGTTGACATTGACTCGATGGCAGTGTTTTATTTTTAATATTTGAAGTCTATACGAGACTTGCGCGTGTGCCCGAGGATGGGTTCATAGCAGTATTTCTTGTGGCAGTAAATCTATACACGGACATACAAGCACTGACATGCACACCAGCAGACCAGGACTGTGGTCTCCCCATACTATAGGATATTATAAAGCAGTGAAAACAGACACGTGGGCCTACGTGAATCTGTACAGAAGAAGTTCTAAATGGTCTACTGAGCAAAAACCAGTGGGATGTGATTTGAAGACGCTTTAAAAACACACAAATGTCCCCCAGGGCTCAGGTGTGCGCCTATGGAGAGGCAGAGTCAAGAAGGAAGGTGTGTGCAGAAGGGGGGCTCCGGCAGGAGGACCCTGAGGGGCTCCAATTGTTCGCGGTGCGTTCCTTGAGTGGCTGGTTTTCAGGGTGGTTTGTGAGGTCTGTCAAATGCGATTTTCCTGCTGGTCTGCGTGTCTCAACATCCAGGGAAGTAAAGAGAGAAGAAAACACCAGCCAACGGGCCCTGTTGGAGTGGTTTATTTATCATTTCAAGGGGGTTTTGCTCCAAAGTGTGACACCAGACAAGTGATTACAATGTCCCCTGTGTCATTTTGTGCTTCGGTTTGTGGCTGCAAAACACACACACGTAGCATTTGACAACGGAACACATAGGAGGCAGAAACAAAGCACAACAACTATGTCTTTGGGGGAGCCCTCACCCCAATTTAGCTTTAGGCAACAGCCACCAGCCCACCTTTACAGCTCCAAAGAGGTTCCCTTAAGAGCTGCAACCTCTCCCTCCTCCTTCCCTCCCTTCTTCTCTCTCTTCACGGAGGGATGTGATCTTTCATTTAACCCACACCACGCCATATTGCATGCCGTGGGAACAGACAGGGGCACCGTCTGTTCCGTGAGCCTTCAGCAAGTATATATTGGTTTGATGCAAGTGGGAGTTGCACAGTGCACAGGCTTAGACTTGGGGCTTCCTGCCCGTAGCTGGATCTTTGGAGGAAACCAGCCAGTCCACCCTCAGGACCTTCTGTGCTGTCTGAGATGCGCTCACTTTATTTTCACTCTGCTCCGCACCCTCCTGAGAAAATGCTTCCCGACACGGGACACGGCGTTCCTTTCTGAAAAGGCCGGGCTCCTTCCCTCGGACAGACGCCATGACCCCTTTCAGTAGCAAGCACAGTTGCGCCTGGTAGGAGGTAAGCGCATCCGATGGAGTTTCTGATTGTGCCCTGTGATGCCACGGGGTCCTTCCAACGGACTAGAGGGGTTTGGAGTAGACCAGCATGGCGAGTGCCTGCCCTTGCTTGCACCCGTGTCCCGGAGAGCTGTGAGTCCTCCTGGGACAGACAGCCACACTGACTGTCATGAATTTCTAGGCCACCTGCTGAGACGCTTTGGCTACCGAGAACTCAGAGGGGACGCTGCCTTCCACGGCGCTTGGAGTCTTTCTGCCTGAGCCCTCATCCATCCTTCATTCGCTCATTTGGGACCGAGCACCCGGGAGCCAGCTCCGTGCTAAGGGGTGGGGAATATGCCAGGGGACAGAACAGCCATCCCTGTGAAACCGGGTTCATTTCTGCCTGAGGCGACGGCTGAGCCCTAATGCAGTCTGGGGTGGAACTGGACTCCCACCGGGGCAACCTGTCGTTTGGATGGTGGAAGACAGCTTTTTGGACATCCAAAGAAACGCATCTCTGAAGACAGCCTCGCCATGGTGACGCTGAAGTAGAGGCTGGGATCAGGAGCCCTGCTCCACCCACCTCGAATGCCCCCTGCTGTGACGTCCGATGGGTGCACAGACTGACAAGGAAGTAGAGCCCACTTTCTGATGGGAAGTCTAGCTTCCCAGGCTTTCCTGGATCGGGAGCAGATGGTTACCAAGAAGAGCGTGCTGGTGAACTTTCCGAGGGAAGATCTCGTACCATGCCAACCAGAAAGGAGAGCAGCACAGGGAGGCGGGCCTCAAAGGCATGCTCTAGGAGACCGTCAGGGCTGGGAGGGGGCGTTTGACACTCACGGTCAAGGTTTTCAATGATCTGACGGACTTGCCCACGGGAAAGGAACGCGATGTTCTCTCCGTCTCTCTAGGGGATGAGAGCCGCTACTTCAAATGCTTTCCTCTTTCCTCTTATAAAAACCCACTGCTGTCAGTTCATGCTGACTCCACGGTGATCCTGCAGGACAGAGGAGAATTGCTCTTCTGGTTTTCCAAGACTGTACATCTTTACCGGAGCAGGCAGCCTCATCTTGCTCCCTCAGGGCAGCTGGTGAGTTTGAACCGCTGATCTTGAGGTAAGGAGCCTAACACTTAACCCTCTGTGCCACCAAGGCTCCTTGTCTTGTACAGAAAAGGAAGAGGATGACTAAAGCGCTCAGGCCCTGCTCACCTCTCAGGGAGATGCCAAGAGTAATGGGACTCGTCGAAGGGACAAATAATCGGATTGCCCTTCCCCGTCTCCTCTAGGAATTACCTCTGTGATTGTAGGACTGTGGTGATGTCTGAAGGTCCAGAGTTTGGATCTCAGTGTTTCAGGAATCCAAGGGTATGATCTCCTGGGTTTGGAAGCACTTGGGATGGTTCTAGGACTTTCTGGATAATCTCAGCTGCCATGTTGAAGTAAAATCCAGTAAGCTAGCTCTAAGAGAATCCTCCAGATGCCTCAGAGGCTGTGTGTGTTTTTATTGTGTGTGTGTGTGGCAGGGGGCACCTGTAGCACTGTGACACCATCCACAGAGATCCAGTTCCTGTGTCATTAGCCTGCCTGACAGATCACCACACCAAGGTTCTGCCAGGCAGTGACAATAGCAGAATCAGGGATCCTGACTCAGGGGAGGGGGTTTATGGGCACTCAACAAGGCTCCTCATTTAGGTGTGATTCACAGAACCATATGGACACGCACTTGCAAGAACCAGGCAGAGATTCAATACCTACCTGCTGGTTCTTTACTGACTACAACAGGAGGGCCCTAAACCAACCCCATGACTGACAAGTCAACCCTGAGCCATAGAGACCCTGCAGGGACAAAGGAGGACTGTCCCAGAGGGTTTCCTGGGCTGGAAATCTCTACCAAAGCTATAGGACAAAGGAGAACCCAGAGGCTTTCCAAGGCAGCCAGTCTTTACCAAAGCAGACCTCATCTCCCCCCGTGGAAAGGCATGGCTGGTGGGTTCAAACCATAGACTTTGAGGTTAGCAGCTGAGTGCTTCACCACGGTACCCCAGGGCTCCACCTGAACTCATAACTCCCACACAGTCTGTTAGGGTGCAGTGACCCTACAGGACAGGGTGGAACTGCCTTTCAGATCTCTGCATCCTTAAATCCCTATGGGAGCAGAAAGCCTTATCTTTCTCCTGCGGAACATCTGGTGGGTTCGAATTGTGGACCCTACTTAACAGCTTGGGACCCAGTAGAATAGTGAAGCATAGCAGCTCTGTGCACGCATAGCCCCGCAGGTGCGCTTCACTCAACTCCCTGTAGGACAGGGGAGAACTGCCGCGGTGAGGTTCTGAGACCGGAGGAGAAAACCCTGTCACTCTCCCAAGGAGCTGCTGCTGGCTTCAAACTGCAGACCTGGAGCTTAGCAGTCCCACACGTCCTGAGAGGGAGGGAGGGAGGCCCATTTGCAAAAGACCTTATTTTCTTTTCAAAATTCTCTTCCTGGTGGTGCCTGATGGTACCGCCAAACGAGTATGGACCTCAAAGGAAACCCCTACCCAAGTAGCTGCTGGAACAAAGGTCCATTTGAAGGGGGCACCTGGGTGATGCTGGGTGGCCATGGGAACCTGTGTCCAGAATCCAGCCCGACTTCTACCCCCTGCTCGCTGTCAGGGAAGGTCTTCTCCCCCTCATGTCACACACGCCCTGCTGTGAGATGAGACAATGAAGTCGTTTTACGATAAAGAAGAGGCACACCTTTCAGTCCACGCAGGGCATCTGAAAACCACCCATTAAACTGAGAATGAGAAAGAAACAAGAAATAGAGGCAGCCCCATTCTCGTGTCATACTGATGGGCAGAGCTATCCACTCAAGGACCCTTTGGATCACGACCACAGTCTCAGGGGACAGTGAGGTCAATGGGTAGACGGCAACCATGTTCCAGAGCCTGGTGTGGTCAATAGCGCTGGGGTCTTCACTGATGTGCAACCACCCAGGGGTCTGTCCCTGTCCAGAGGAAAGAAGAGGGAGGAAAATTGAAGACACGCGGAAACAATTAGCCTGGTGGACTGACGGACCACATGAACATCTTTCTCCAGGGCCCTGAGACCAGAAGCGCTCGATGGTATCCGGCTACCACTGCCAACTGTTCTGAAAGGGATCACAAGAGGGTCCCCGGGAGAGGAGAAGGAAAATGTGGAACAACACAGAATCAACAAAGAGACCAGGCTTCCTGGTTGGAGGGATGCTGGTAGAACCCCAACAATATGCCCTTTGGTCAACCTCCAGGTATGGAAATGAACTCACCCCATAGCTCAATGTTGAGCAAGAATGAGACAGGTGTGCAAAGGGAACCCCAGCACAAGGGAAGTATAGACGCCTTAGACTATTCGATCAGGAAAGGCCTGTTGGGGTGTGGTAGTCCACGTCAAGTACCCTAACCTCTGCATCAGAACCAAGTCGTGCTTGCTAGAAATGCAGATTCCTGGGCATTGGCCAGGAATGCCCGTTTGGAATGTCTCCAGGTGGGCCCAGGAACCTTCAGGTGATTCTTCACACACAAAGGTTGGGGAGGAACCCTTGGTGGTGTGCTCAGCAGGCAAATCAAAAGCTGGAGGTTCAAGTCCACCCAGGGGTGCCTTGGCAGAGAGGTCTGGTGATCTACTTCTGAAAACCCAACCCCCAAGCATGCTGGGGAGCACAGTTCTAGGGAGCACACGGGTCGCCATGAATGGACGTGGCCTTGACAGCCAGTGGCTAGGCTTTGGGAACTGCCGGCTGCCTGTTTGGAGTGGGGGTACTTGGTTCAACACTGGTAATGATGTCACCCCAGCCTGGCCATTTCTAATTCTATGAGATGGTCCAGGCCATTGTATTTACTTCTTGGTTTTCAGGAAATACATAATGTAAAGGCCCCAATCTCCTTTGCATCCATCTTTCCCCAGGGATGTATTCTCTGCCCCCATCTGGAGAGCCTGTACTGAGTGCACTTGGCAACGACACAGAGGGAATCAAAGACCTTCACTCCTCTGTGCCATGCATGTCCCATCTTCATACCGAAACTTGCTCATGGTGGGTGCCTGAATACTTAAAAAAAGGGGGGAGGGGGTGATGAGAGATTAGGGTCCTGGCCTTTGCCAGACATCTGCCCAGGGGTGGCTGGCTGTCAGATGAGGATGGAAGGGCACGGGGACACGGGGGCACAGGGGGTTGGGGCAGCGGGGATCGGCGCCCAGGCCTATGGGTGCAGCGGGTGCCACATGGCGATCTGCCGGCGGGGGTTCTTGAGCATCTCCTCCCAGTGGCCTCGCTCAGAGCCCGCCGCGTGCAGGCCCAGGCTGCAGTGGCCAAGCGGCTGGCTCTGGCCCTCCTCGGCCTGGCCCAGCACCTCCAGCTCCACGCTGCAGGCCCGCAGCAGGTCATCCGGCAGCTCGAACATGATCATCTCATTCCACACGGGGTTCATCTTGTGCTTGGCCCGCTTGGTCTGCTTCTTCTTCAGCTTCTGAGCCTGGTGCTTCAAGGTCACCTTGACAGAGATGTCTGGGGGGGGGGTGCACAGGGAGAGGGCGGGGAAGAGACAGAGAGGAGGGCTGAGAGTGAGCTGGGTAGGATAGGGGCTGTCTGCTGCTCTCTCCTCTGTCTGGAGAGACTGCCTGGCTCAAGAGCTCCTCCTGCACCCCGTGACAATCACTATTTGCTAAGTGCCTGTCATGGCGCTGTCCCGTAGGCATTGGACTGCTAACTGCCAGGTCAGAGGTTCAAGACTATCAACTGCTTCTCAAGAGAAAGACAAGGCTTATTACTCCCGTGAAAATTCACAGCCTTGGAACTCTGAGGTACGGCTGGAAACCTTAGAGAGGAGACCAGGCAGAAAGACCTTCCGATTGACTGCACTATGTCAGCAATGACAATGCTGTGGCCACCGTGGACCGGGCCCTGCACAGTCGGGACAACTGAGCTCAGCCGCGGGCGCAAGCGGTGACAGTCAAGAGGAGGCCTGGGACAGGCGGCATTTTGTTCCGTGGCACACAGGGCCATCGTGGTCCACTCTAACTGGGACAGCAACTCACATTAACAGTGTGCCGCCCGGGAACCAGAACTTGCCGCAGGACTTCCTGTCCCCACATCACGCCAGACACCGTGTCTGTAATCGCCTTTAAAACTCAGACTGGAAAACGAAGTCACTCCCTGTCGTCATCATGCTCCTCCACCAGAGCCTCCAACCCACT